ACTGCCGAACACGCGCGCTCGCGCGCACGTGCCCGCACGCTGCAGAGTAGTGGTGCTGATTTAACGCCAAACGAACAAGCACATGTGTATATGTCATCAGGCTGTTTCGAATCACCGCCGCCCCCTTCCTTTTGGAAACGCCCATGCGGCCAAACGTGGGGCCGAAGTCTGACCAACCTATTGGACAATTGAAAAAATGTCTTCCCCAGCAGTTCTGGGTGGGTCCAATTGGGGAACACTGGAGAGAAGCAGAGAAAGGATTGTGAGAGGGAGAAGAAGGAGGAGAAGTAATAAGAGGAAGCCTGAAAGGGCGCACTCGTGGCACACTTCTCACTAATAGGTGGGCCCCAGCTTGAAGCTACCCCCCTCATTTGGAAATGGGTGTGGGGGGGCTTCCGAAGCTACCCCCCTCCTATCCTTATGTGGGCATTTCGGAGCTAGGGGGGCCCTAGCTAAAGGGGGGGGACTTCCAAGCTACCTCACCTCCCTTTTCTTTCCTGGAGCTCAAGGTCAGCATGGGTTCCCCTTTCAAACGGGGGGGAGGCTTCCGAAGCTACCCCCCCTTCCTTGTGGTTGGATTTTGTAGCTGGGGGGTCCCTGGGGGGGAGTTTGGAAGCGGCCCGAAAGAATAAACCTGCGGAGGTCGGTGCTTTTCGTTCGAGAGGCCGCTGCAGGATGGGGTAATCGGCACGCGCGGAGCGCGCGGGATTGTTGCGGGCGCGGGATGCAGCGCCGAAGGCAGGACGTCGGTAAAGTTCTTGCAAGGATCGGTCAGATTGTCGAAAGTAAGCGTCGAAATCGATGGCACACACCCCTTGCCGGCAACAAAATCCGATTGCTTCCGCCGCGAAAGTTGCCGCCCCACAGTGGCAACATTTTCGAGAGCGAGGCCCCAAGCGTATAGGGTCGACATCGGAATCCGCCCGACACGTCGTGCACTCGCGGGCGTTCCGGCAGAGGGCGTCGAGTAGATAATCAGCCGGTGGTTTTGTCCCCCCGCCGCCAGCACAGACAAGGACCCCAGAGCTGGATGGCGCGCGGCACGCGGCACACTTGCGGGCGCTGCGGCGCAGGGCATCTGGCAGGTGATCAGACCTCGGCTTAGGGTCTCCACAACTAGAGCAGAGGACGACCGCAACCTGCGGGATGGTCTCGATCTGGATTGCGCGCGGCATGCGGCACGCTTGCGGGCGCCGCGGCGCAGGGGTCCTGGCAGGCAACCAGACCGCGGCCCAGGGTCTCCGCAGCCGGAGCAAAGAAGGACCGCAGCCTGCTGATTCGTTGATGCATGTGCGTGGGCGGCACAACTCATGCAAGCCCGAGTGCTGGGAGGTCTGTCCAGCTGGGTCTGGGAGAATGCTCGTCGCGGTGCGCATTCAGCACATGAAGCGCATTCGAATGCATCCGCTTTGCTCGGAGGCATCGTCGCAGTGCAGGGGCGCCAGAGCTCGACGCAAACGGCAGCGCACAACAGGCGTAGGACACGCGAGAGGGAGTCCAAGAGACCTCCGAGACCATCCGACAGAGCCCCCAGAGGGCCTCCGCATTGTCTGAGGGAGCCCAAGACGAGCCCCAGAGAGGCCTGAGGCTGACTCAATAAGGTCCAGAGAGTCGAGAATCAGCCAAAACGGATTTGAAATCTACGTCTTTGGGTTTCTCTCTCCTTTCGCTTCCGATCGGCTCCTGAGGCGCCAAGATGGCTCCAAGATGAACCAAATGAGGCCCAAGCCGAACCCAACGAGGCCCAAGGCTGGCCAAAGAGGCCCGGAGAGTCGAAAATCAGAGAAAGACCTTTGAAAAATCAATGTTTTGGCTTTCTCGCCTTTTCGCTTCCGACCGGCTCTTGAGGCTTCAAGATAGCCCCACGATGGCCCCAAATAAGCCCCAAGACTAGCCTCAGAGAGGCCTAAGGCTGGCCCCAGACGGCCCCGAATGTTGAAAATCTGAGAAAACCCATTGTCAAATCAATGTTTTTGGCCTTCTCGCCATTTCGTTTCCGATCGGCTCTGGAGGCGTCAAGATGGTTCCAGGATGGCCCCAAAGAGGCACAAGACGGGCCCCGGGATTCGAAATTCGTTCGGAGGTTCTTTCTGGGGCCCCCCGCCTTATGAAAAATACACGACTAGGAACGAATGTATTCCTTTATCCTTTACTTTTACATTGGGAAACCCCCCATGAGATCGGGGGTGGGCACCACGCCTACACCCCCCCTCCAGAGCCCCCATGACGGCTCAACAGACGGCCCAAGACGGCCCAACAAACAGCCCACACCCCTCCAGGACAGCCACGATGGTCCCAACACAGCCCAACATGACCCCAAGGCGTCTCCAAGACGGCCCAAGACGACCGACGACGGCCAAGGATGGCCCCCAAGACACTCCAATAGGCTTCCATGAGGCCTCCACAACGGCCCCAGAGGCCTTCAAGAGGTTCTCCAGGAAGGCCCGAAGAGGCCAAAAACATAGATTTCCTATCGGTTTTTGGAAAACTTCGGCATTTGCTTATTTTCGGCTCTATCCCGATCCAAGGCTCCCCAAGAGAGGCCCCCTGGCTCGCACCAAGATCGCCCACGAGGCCCTCCAGACGGCCCCAAGGGGGCCCCAAGAGGGCCCCAGAGGCTTCCAAGACGCCCAAGATGGTCTCTATGACTGGCCCTCAGGCGCCCCAAGAGGGCCCAAGTCGGTTCAGAGAGGCCCCTAGGACGAATTCCGACGGCGTCGGACGGGACAAGAACGCCCTAGGACGGCCAAACAAGGCTCCCAAGAAGCCCCCAAAGGCCTTCAAGAGGCTCTGGGAGGCCCCCCAAGAGGCCTCCAAGAGGCCCCCAGGAAGCTCCCAGGAGGCCCCCATAGTGCCCCAAGCGGCTCCCGACGGGCCTCCTCCTGCCCCTCCTCCTCCTCCTCCTCCTCCTCCTCCTCCTCCTCCTCCTCCTCCTCCTCCTCCCCCTCCTCCTCCTCCTCCTCCTCCTGCTCGTGCTCCTTTGTGGCTGCATCCTTCAAGCAAAACCCATTCGACGAGCCTCATCCTCATCCTCCATATCCTCCTCCTCCTCCTCCTCCTCATCCTCATCCTCATCCTCATCCTCATCCTCCTCCTCCTCCCGTTTTCAAGAGCAGGGCATAGAATCCGGAAGTTGTTGTCCCACCCTTCCCACATTTTTTTCGAAAAAAACGAGGGCCAAGATTTAAGGCGAAGCGGCAGCGAGCCTTCAAAATCTTGTATATATATATATATATATATATATATATATATGTATAGCCAGCGTCTGGGCCCGGTGGCAGCGGCGCCAGGGAAGAGAGGTCACGCAGTCAGGAACGCCGCGGCCGACGGGACCCCGCCGAGAACGACCAGACCGAAGAGGGCGACCAGGACGCGAAGTGCGACCCCAAGAAAGCCCCAGTCGCCCGCGCTCGTCGCCGACGAGGAGCCACGTTCAAGGCGAAGGTCGAGCCCAAGATGCCCAACGAGCTAAAGGACCTCATCGTCACGCTCATTCGCGCGACCTACCAGAACACGAAGCAGATCCGCGAGCTCAAAGGGTGCATCATCACGACGGTCAAGGTCAGCGACTCGGACCCCTTGGTCACAGCGATCGAGAAGGAGAACCGCAACTACGCGAAGGCGATACGCAAAGAAGGGGAATCACATGCAAGGGCCCCCCCAGCACCTGGAGCAGCTCTCGCGATGATTGAGTGCCTGGCCACACTCGACGTCGGCGAGAAGAGCAGGGGACTGATCAATCAGTTGGTCGAGACGCTCAACCAGATGGACGAGCACCAGGTGCAGGACGTGTTCCCGATCTGCAAGATCAAGAAGGCTTTCAAGAGCGGCCGGGCGAAGATCTTCTACAACTGCAGGGATCACGACATTCGCCAGGGCATCATGACAGCGTTGCACAGCGCTCAGAAGACAGCGTGCGCAGGACCAGCTCCAGCGGGCTTCGTGGAAGACGAGCTCGCGCTGTGGCTCGACGCAATCACGGACGACAGCGAAACAGCCACAGCTCACAGACACGGGGACCAGCGACGACTGCCGATGATGATGATGAGGACGCAATCATCATTGCTAGCGAGTTCATGCGACGGTTCAAGGCGACTTCGGCTGCAACGGGGATATGCACTCTCGAAGCGACATCCTCTTCACCTTCTCTGCCTCCGACCACCACGCTCGCACCTTCGCCAGCACCTCCGCCTTCACCAGCACCGACGCCAACACCGATGTCAGCGCCAACTTCTGAAGCTTACGCCGCACTGCCGCGCCCCGACCTCGGCAAAACAGGCACTCCCGTCATCTTTTCCCCCCTCCTCGTCGTCGTCCTCCCGAGCCCCCCCCCCGCCTCGTCCTCCTCCCTGGATGTCCGAGCACCCCTTCTCACGGCTCGCGGCCGTGGACGAAGGGGCGGCAAAGGCCGCGCCCGCGTTCGGAGGTGAGCCGGGTTGTGGGTTCGCTTTTTTTGTTGCCGAGCCGTTCACTATCAAGTGTGCGGAGCCCTTCACGAAGACGCCCAATCGGGCGAGCACCGTCTGGGTTCCTGAGCTTCAATCACCCGTTACTGTTTTGAAGAATTTTGGACATAATGGTGCTGTGAGTAAGTGGGTACGTGCATACATGTATATATACGTATACGTATGCATATACATGAACATACACATACATACATACATACATGCATACATACATTCATACAAACAAACGTACACACATACCTACATACGTTCATACATACATACATACATACATACATACATACATACATACATACATACATACACATATATGTACACATAAGTACATACAAAAAATCAAGCAAACATACAGACAGACAGACAGAGACAAACATGTGTGAATGTATATAGATATATACGCCATCCAACAGACAGACAGACAGACAGGAAGAAAGAGAGGAGTGGAAGACGGAGGGAGAGAGGGAGGGAGGGGCTGGAGCTCGCATCCATTGCGCAGGTCCGGCCCATTCATAAACCTATTCCGTTATTTGTTCCGTCGGAGGCGATAGTTTTAGTTGAAATTGTACATTGACACGCAGAGACCAAGAGGCGCTGTGGAGTCAAATCGAGGGACCTACGTAATTTTCGGTCGGTGGGCAGCAGCGGGACAGGTATTGGTCAAGCATAAGGAGGGCGCTCTGGAAACGAATTGCGGCACGGAAGGGTCCGGGCAGAGGAGAGAAGCAGGAAAAGAAAGAGCAGCGGTCAGAACATGAAGTCCTTCACGCGCGTGCCGGAGGTGCACAGCGAACGCGTAGAATTGGCCCACGAAGCAACGTTCGAGCACGGCGAGGAAGAGGAGAGTCGGAACCAGAATGGTCCAGGACCCTGTGTCACAAGAGGGCTGGGAAAAAGCGGCCCGCGGCGACAGGCCCGCGCCGTAGATGGGGCCGAGAGCTCCAGGGGCCCCAAGGCCTCCGACGTCTTGATCGTTGGTTTTTAGAGCGGCGGGGGCGACAGGCGGAAGCCACATGCTTCTCCGCCACCGCAGATTTGTCCGCCTGTCTAGGCACGGCATTAGAGCGGTCGGCTGTCTCGACTTCCTGGCCATCCTTCCATTATTCGGCACGACCAGAAAGCCAGGAGAAGCTGGACGACGATGACATCAAGTCGCTGGCCAGGAGCCAGGGAGGGAGGGAGGGGGGAATCGGCATCTGGAGCCAGAGAACGAAAGCGAGGGAGAGGGTGATAGAGAGTGATTGGAGGAGGGAGAGACGGACCGAGGTCGAGAAGAGCGATGGGGACACGGGGGTTGCTCCGGGGACCGAGGGGCGGACGGGACGGGGACAAGGGGGGGGGAAGACAAGGGAGAGGGGCGAACAAGAAAAGAGGAGGCGAAAGGGGCCAGTTGTTTTCGTTCGGCCGGTTGGCTGGCATTCCTCGGCGGGGAAGAAGGACATACAGTTTTCAAGCGCGTTGTTGGGATGCAAGCCGCTGCGCGGCGCACCATGATGGCGGCAGCCAGCTGATTGTGTTGTGGGCGCGCTGGATCAGAGCCTGGCCCGCCAGCAGGTGTCCAACGGAATCCTCTTACAGCCCAGTGGTCAGCACAGTTTCATTTCGGCATCCCCATTGAAGCCCCAGGGTACTTCGATCGCGGTGCTCGAGGTCGACTGGAGACGTACCTTTAGATTGAAAAGGCTTGCGCCATTCCACTGACCCTCAGAAGAGGAGATGTGTGGCTTCGGAGTTTGCGTCTGTTGGTTGACACTTCCCGTAGTGCTGCCTGCGTGTAGTCGTTGACGATTCGTCCTCCTCTCTTCTTCTGCGTGTGGTGCGGGGCTTGGGGGCCTCTTGGAGGCCCAGAGTCCCTGATGAGTTCACCCGGCGGTCGTCCTGGGCCATGGGGGGGGTCGAATCGCCGGTTTGGGTGCCTTTGGGGGACGGGTATTTTGGGGGAGTAGGCAAAAAAATATCCGTCGTGGTTTTGCACAGCGAGGAGGAGTCAGGGGCCCGAAGTGTGGCACGCCGCGACGCTGCCTCAGCCCGTCCTGGGCGGAGGCCTCGGGGGCCAGCGGGCCCAGCAGCGCGAAGTGCATATGATGGCGCTGCTCGGCCCCGGCTGGTCTGCGCGTGGTCGTCCCCGACACCCCTGCGGGAACGGCGCAGAGATCCCGAGGAAGCCGTGAGTGAGTCACCGAGCGCGTTCCACTACTCGCAGAGTGCCTCCTCGCAAACGTCCGAAAAACACATGTCGGCTTCGGTGCAATGTCTCGCAGATCCCCCCGGCAAATCGAGGCCCTTTGCGAGTAGCCTCTCTGCGAGTAGTGGAATGCGCTCGTCGAGTGAGTGAGGCCAGCCGCGAAGCGAAACCGATGAAGGAGGAGGGGGGACGGGGAGAAGGAGGAGGAGGAGGAAGACGAGGAGGAGGAGGAGGAGGAGGAGGAGGAGGATTTCGTGGAGGAGGGGTAGTAAGACGCAGCGGCCATCCCGCCAATGTCCGTGCAACGCAAAAAGGAGGAGGGGAAATGGAGGAGGAGGAGGAGGAGGAGGAGGAGGAGGAGGAGGAGGGTGAGGAGGAGGATGAGGAGGAGGGGGCGGAGGAGTACGAGGAGGAGGGGGGGGAGGAGGAGCAAGAGGTGGAGGGCGACGAGACGCAGGAGAAAGGAAGGGACAAAGGAGGAGAAGGGGGAGGGAGAAATGGAGGGCGGGGAAAGAAAAAGACGGAGATGAGCGGCATGGGGGGAGCAGGAGAGAGGCGGGAGTAGGCACGAAGAGGTGTTCAATGGCGACGGGCTGGAGGAGGGTAGGCGGAAGAGAGGAAGATCCTAAAGAACGTGACGACTCTGCTCCAATCCAGTTGCGAGGATCAAGCCAGATAAGTCGAAGCACGTCTGCGCAAGGCGAGATGGACTGTAGATCGAGAGAGACGTCCAGCTACGTTGGGGAAGGATCCAGCGCGTGTCGACAGGACACCAAAATTCGTCAAGCCTTCAACGAGAGGAGCCAGGAGGAGGAGACAGGAGGTCAGGGGGCTGCCGAACATGTTTTGCGTCAGCTCCCCAGCCCCACCTCTGGAGGAGGTCTCCTACCCCCCCTGTCGGAGGGCGGATGCCCACTGAGGCCGCCCCGCAAAGAGACGGCCAGGAGCGCCCAAAGCATGTCGCCCGTCCTCCTCCTCCTCCTCCTCCTCCTCCTCCTCCTCCTCCTCCTCCTCCTCCTCGACCTCCTCCTCCCCCGGCTCCTCCCTCATCCTTCTGTCTTCCCCGCTTCTTCTCATCCCTCCTCCTTCCCTCCTCCTCATCCTCTTCCTTCTCCTTCCCCATGCCTCTTCCTTGTAGATACCTCTTGCGCGTCGCGCTCCAAGGCTGGTCGAAAGGGTGGGCCAGGCGTGTCGCCTCAGACTTCCTCACCACTTCTGATCTTCTTGCTTGGAATTTGCAAGAGCTTCACGGATGGAGGGTGGCCCGTTTTCAATGTTTAAAGTGTGGTTCTCGCCGTAGCGCCGCGCACATTCGTTATCAAAGCTTGCGAGAGATCCACGGATGCAGGGCGGTTCCTGTGCAAGCTTTGGTTCTCGCTCTAGCGCCGCGCACGCTCGTGTTGAAAAAATTGCAGGAGCTTCGCAGATGGAGGACGGGCCTCCTTCAAACTGTGGCTCGCGCCTTAGTGTTGCGCACATTCATCTCAAACGTCTGCAAAAGTTTTCAGGATGCCGGGCGGCTCCTCCTCTCGACGTGTGGCTCTCGCTTGTAGCGCCGCGCACATTTCGTCTGGAGAAATGTGAAACAGTTTCAGGGCTTCTCATGGTGGGCGTCCCAGAACGGATGTTTTTGCACGATGTTGGAATGCCAGGGGGCAACAGTCACGTTGATTCGCAATGTTGGAGTCCCACGGAGGGCGTTTTTGCACGACTCAGGGTCGTCAAGACGACACCGTAGTGGTGATTCGCGGCGTTGAAATCCCAGAGATGGTGTTTGGGTGCAGTTCGGGATTTTCAAACGGTTGTCTTCCAACGGGGCACTGCCCTCAGTGAAAACGAATCTTCGTAGGGGCCTATGCGGAGGGAATTTGTAGGGAGGGTGCATTGCAATATCGTCGATGAGTCTTGGGTTCAACACTGGTCCGTCTCCTCCTCCTCCTCCTCCTCCTCCTCCTCCGCCTCCTCCTCCTCCTCCTCCGCCAGAAGGCCGAGCCAGCCGTGGCCCCCCCCCTATGGTCCGGAATTTCTGGACAGCGTGCTGCTCCGCCGGTTCTGGCCCACCATGCTTTGGGAGCCTCACGGGGGCCAGCCAGAGCGCCCCATCTTGCAGGACCCTGCAGGGCCAGAGTCGCACTGACTAGGGCTCGGGTGCAGGATCCTGCAGGATCTTGCAGGATCCTTCGCATTGGCCCGGGCTTGGGTGCAGGACTTTGTGGGGTTCTGACAGGCCAGACTGACCCGGGTCTGGATTGACCCCACTTGGGTCAGAAGATCCCCGAATGCTTCGGCGCGACACGCTGTTCGCGCCCCCGCCCCCCAGCGTCAATGTCCCGAGCTTGCCCGAGTCCGCCGCCCGGCGGAGCAGAGAGACACGCTATCCGCTCGCAATGCAAAGCGTCTCGCCAGGGCCGCCGCGGCGGCACGCGCCCCAGCGACACGCTGGGCAGAAGCCCCCCGACCGTAAATCAAGGAGGAACAGCTGCATAAACAGACGGTTGGCGTTGGAAAGATAGCCTGCGATGGGGCGCCGCGCCGGCCCGCTGACTGCACGCTGTCCCCCACCACACGGTGGGCGTTGGAAAGATAGCCTGCGCCTCCTCCTCATCCTCGCTCCACGACCGATGCGCCCATTGTGGAGCACGGGGCACGTTGTACCATCGATTTTATGATTGTCCAAGGCTTAGCGCCGTCCGGCGCGAAGATTGCCCTGAACACGTCAAGCAAGCTGCCAGCTATGTCCAGGATCTGAGTGAATTCTTTGGTGAATTGTTTTGTCGCTGCCTGTGGCCATCGCCCGGGTATTGTTTTCCCCGCGACGAAGCTCCCGAGGAAAACTGGTTGCGCTTTGTCGGGGTTTTCCCTGGGTGGAAATTTTCGGGGAAGGTCTTCGTCGATGGAAGCGCTTTTAACACCGCTCACGCCGGCCTGAGTAGGGCTGGATGGGCGGTCGTTGCGGTAGACCCGGCAGGGCAGCTCATAGGAGCCATGTATGGGTTGGTACCCCTAGCTAGCGCCCCGCACCAAGTAGCTAGAGATGGCGAGGACTACGCGTTTCTCATGCTCAGTCGGTTTTCGGAGTGGGACCCCGAGAATCCCCTAGAGGTATTCTGCGATTGCCTCGGGACCGTCGGGTGTGCCACCGACGCCGGTGAAGCTTTGAGCCATGACAACCCCAGGCAGCACCTCTGGAGGGAGTGGTGGTCCGGCATTGGCCGTCAGGCCCAAGTTCATAAAGTGAAAGCCCACACATCAGAGTCGCCGCGGGTCTGCCAGCAGATGCACGACACGCCGGCGTCCACCCAGGATGGCCGGCGTCCATCAGAGTCGGCCGCTTTAACCGATCATGACGTGTGGATTGTTCGTGGAAACAGGATGGCCGACAAATATGCTAAGAAAGGGGCCTTGCTGTGGGGAATCCCAGAGCAGTGGCCTTTGTTCGTTTCAGGTTGCAAGCGGATTGTGAGAGACTGTGCTATGTGGCATGGCCGAGCCCAGGCTGCTTTCGGTGCCTTGGAGCAGCCCGATTCGGAGGGCATCGCCGGCACTGCGGACATCCAATTCGACGATGAATACTCCGAGGCCCTTTTAGAGGCATGCGAGCAAGCAGGAGTGCAGCCGTTCGAACGGCGCCCCGGCACCGCGGGAGCTTCGGGGTCCTCCCCCGCTCCGCCTCCGCCTCCTCCGCCTCATCCTGCACCCAGGGACTTCCTCCATGTATCTGGGGTTCCCTGGGTGCTTAGAAACCACTCCATCGTCCAGGCCACGGTCCAGGCTGAAGATGGGGAAGCTCTCGACGATTTAATTTTTGTAAGTGCTGTGGGGCCTCGGCGCATCAGAGTGCGCGGGGAGGCCTTCAAGCAAACTGCAAGGGATCAGGCCATACGGGGTATAAGACCCAGAGGTCGCGTTTAAAGCGTGGTTTGTTCCCAGGTCACAACCTGGGGAAGGCCACTGTGGGCACTCCGTTCGGGCCGACAGATGATATGAAGGCTGTTTGGGGTCCTTTGCTTGGCTTTGAGCCTGGTGGGAGTGGTGCTGGTGGGGACGTGGGTCTAAACAGTGATGCTGTAGAGGCGCCAGTTGCGGCCACGGAGGTGCCGCTCCCGACTTCAGCGATCGCTGAGCTTCCAACCTTGTCACCCCAACAGATTGCTAGATTGCACGGTTTCGCTACTCCAGAGACGCTTGTTGCTTGGGAGAGTGACCAGCGCCGTCGGGAAGTCGATCCGGCTGATTGGGATGAGGAGGATAGCATAGGCTAGCCTCCTGTTTTTGGCCTGCGTGCCAGGGGGTGTAGACCCACCCCGCGTCATCGGTACCCTCAGTACCCATCCTCATCCTCCTCCTCCTCCTCCTCCTCCTCCTCATCCTCATCCTCATCCTCATCCTCCCCCTCCTCCTCCTCCCCCTTCTCCTCCTCCTCCTCCTCCTCCTCCTCCTCTTCCTCCTCCTCCTCCTCCTCCTCCTCCTCCTCCTCCTCCTCCTCCTCCTCCTCCTCCTCCTCCCTGCGATGGGGCGCCGCTGGCCCGCCGACTGCTCGCTGCCCCTCCCCATCTCGGGGACGGCGTGCACCGAGGCAGCCCCAGCAGGGAAGCGGGGAGCACGGAGGGGGCTCTCGCGAGGGGAGCGCCTCGGAAGGGAGGAGGAGGAGGAGGAGGAGGAGTAGGAAGGGGAGGGGGAGGAGGAGGAGGAGGAGGAGGAGGAGGAGGAGGAGGAGGAGGAGGAGGAGGAGGAGGAGGAGGAGGAGGAGGAGGAGGAGGGAGGAGGAGGAGGAGGAGGAGGAGGAGGAGGAGGAGGAGGAGGAGGAGGAGGAGGAGGAGGAGGAGGAGGAGGAGGAGGAGGAGGAGGAGGAGGAGGAGGAGGAGGAGGAGGAGGAGGAGGAGGAGGAAGGGGAGGAGGAGGACAGCGTGCGTTTCGGAAGTCGATGCTGCACGCCGCCTTTCCAACGCCACTCGCGAATCGAAGAGAATGGAGCTGCACAAACAGAAGCGTTCGAGGGTCGGCGCGGATTCCTCGGTTCGGCGCTGGACCCCCCTCCCGAGGCGCCGCCAAAGGGTGGGGCCCAGCACCGATCCGAGAAGTCCGCGCGGTCCTCCGAAGGTTTCTGTTCATGCGTCTTGTATGTGTTGTTCGGCTAGATGCGCCACCCGACAGGAATATAGGAAAACCAGAACCACATTCCGGCTGATCCGATCGATCCGATCTATCGACCGACGACAGCGGCGGCGAGCGCGGCAACAACGACGATGGCAACGACGACGGCAACAAACACACTCGGTGCCAGATCCATGGCCGCCGCGGCGAAGAAGGCATCCGACGCCGCGGAGTCCAGGGCGTCCCCCGACGAGGCCCGCGCGCGCGGGCGCGTTCGCCCCCGCGCGCTGGTCCGCCGCGCCGGTGAGGATGCACGGCTGGCGTGATGACTGAAGGGGGGAGGATGTTCCCTTGGCTACTTTGCCCGTGGGCGGCAGCTTCTGCCCTGCCGGGAGGAAGCCATCAACCTGGCATCTTCGGGCGCGAGGAGAGGACATTTCTGCGCAGGTGCGCCTGAGTTCGGGCGCGATCCCGCTGCCAGCAGCAGGTCCCGCCACCGTGCCAGCGAAGCAGCGCAGCAGGAATTGGGGCGAGCTCAAGATCTGCTCAAGCTTCCGTCTGGACTGGCGCGGATCTTAAAACCAGCCCCTCGTTGTCAGCAGTTTCGTTTTCGTTTCCAGCCCTCTCTCTCCCCCGCCTCCCTCCTCCCTCTTGAAGGCTTTCCGAAACCTTCTTCGAGGCCTCGTGGGAGCCCTCTGAAGGCCATCCGAGGGGCCTGTCGAGGCACCCCGCCGCGGGGTGGTCGTCCGCCGAACCCAGAAAGCCCAAGTGCCCAACCCGGGAATTCGGCCCCGCGCAGCCACAGGTAACGCTTCAACCTGGAAATCGATCTCGCCGAAACTTGGAAAGGGCTTCGCCTGAGAGTGGGTCCATGTTTTCAGGCAGCGGGCGTTTCTTTCCTGGATTCGCCGCCGGGTTCTGGGGCTCGCTGGCATGAGTTTGGAGTTCGGCCTTCTGCCCTCCTGGTGTGTGGTTTGCCAGCTCGTTCCCTAGATCGCCTTTTCCAGACTGTTCCAGGGGTGTGGCGAGCGAGGGAGGGCGGATGAGGGGGGCGACGGGAGGCGGATCAGTAGGTAAACAATGATGATGGTGGTGAGGAGGATGGTGACGATGATGATGATGATGATGATGATGATGATGATGATGATGATGATGATGATGATGATGATGATGATGATGATGATGATGATGATGATGGCGATGGCGATGGTGATGGTGATGATGATGTTGTGTGATGATGTGATGATGATGATTATGATGATGATGCTGATGATGATGATGATGATGATGATAACGATGATGCAAATGAAAATGAAAATGATGATGATGTGGGTGATGGTGCTTGTGTTCGATGGCGATGATGAGGAGGAGGAAGGAGGAGGATGATGCTGATGATGATGATGATGATGATTATGATTGACCAGTAATGCTCATTCAAGTGACCTGGATGTTACATTATTTCGGCTGTCTCTCTCTCTCTCTCTTGGTTGTTCCTCTCTCTCTCTCTCTCTCTCTCTCTCTCTCCCTTCCTCGCTTACATCGAGGTCTCGAGCGCCCATGCGACCGCGCTGCACGGAGCCAAGCAGCTATAGAGCGATGATTGCTCACCTTGTGGGGGGAGCTGAGGGAGTGGGTCTGCACTCAAGATAAAAACTTCGAGCAACTGCCTGCTACGACTCCCATTAATCTGCGTCCTCTGTTTCACTCCAGCTTCGTATTTATTTGTGTGTCCCATTCTCCGAGTAGGCTTGCATATAGCTCTCTTTGCTCCATGCGTAGAGAAATGGTCCACTGTCCCCTCCGTCTCTTGCCTTTGCAATCGTGAAAATATCCGCATGGCTTCCTCTGTCTCAGCATGGCTTTCTCATATCCGCATGGCTTCCTCTGCTGCTTCCTCCTATCCGCATGGCTTCACCCTGTCCGCACCTTCAACGCGCGGAGGGGGCCCGAGATCCACTCCATCGCGGACCAGGAGGTGGCTGGCGACGACGATGGCCTTGACGCTTGGTACAAGGACGAGCAGGAGGATGAGGTGCGAACGATGGTCTGTAGGGGCTTGGCTGCCGTGCCGCCACTCCCCGTGCCGGATGGCTGGGCGGAGCTGCGTGCCGCCAACGAAGAGCTCTTCATGAAGCAGGAGGCGGCGCTGGCGACCCAGCGCCTCAGGACTGACGCGGTGGTGCAGGTGCTGCACGCCGAGGGCTAGCCTGGCCTGCCCACCATCAAGGAGGAGGTCGTGGCTGAGATGGAGCGGCAGCAGGTCGAGGACATCCTCGACGCCCTGTCCACGGACGACGTCGAGGGGGAGGCCAAGTTCCTGGGCGTCCCCACTCAGGATTTCATCGAGTGGCTCGTCGACTCCTACGGCGAGTCGGTGCGGGACCACTTTCAGGAGTAGGAGTCATCGCTGGACATTTTGTTCGGCCACTTTGGGTGGGTGGGGGGGGGGCACCCTTTTCTCCCCCGTAGGCCGCGGGGCTTCGGGGGGGCCCTGGTGGTTCCGTGGCGTGTGCGGCTCTTCTCTCCCGTCTCTGGGGAGGGAATCGCTGGGCTCGCCTGGAGGGGCGAACCCTTGGGTTCGTCGCTCCCGTTCGTGGGCCTGCTGGCTCCTGGGGTCGGGCCTGGTGCCTGGCCTGGGCCGTTGTGGGCCTGGGCGTCTCTCCCGCGGGCGGCGGCACCGCGGCCGCCGTGCCGAGCAAGCGTCCCCAGACGCTCGAGGTAGTCTTCAGCCTTTAGTTTTCAGTCAGTCCGCATGGCTTCCTCCTCCGCATGGCTTACTATGCTGCTTCCTCCTATCTGCATGTCTTCCTGTCCGAATCCCGAAGATCGCACAACAACCGCCAAGCTCAGAGTAGAGTGTGTTAGAAAGTGCGCTTTCCTGTGGACGCTGAGAAGTGGGGTGGTCCGATTCCAGGGGGGGGGCGCCTCCCCAGAATTGCAGGGGGGCGGGGTTCGAACCAGCCCTCCCCGTCCTCCCCCCGCCAGGGCGGAAAGGGGAGGGAGGGGTCGAACCGAGGGGGTCCCACCCCGCTGACTTGCAAAGGGGGGGATCCGGATCGCCCCCCCCCCCATCGCCAGTGGCAAACAACGACGGCGAGCGCCGGCGCCAGCGCCCGCGCCGTCGGGCAGCGACGACGACGACGCCGACGACGACGACGGCGACGACAACGACGGCGACGATGACGAAAACGACGACGGAAAAGACGACGACGACAACCACGACAAGCCCTAGTAGGTTTCTGTTAGAGACGGATCTATGTCTAGAAGGATTTGCAGTAGAGCTGGATAAAGCCTAGGTAGGATTCTCTAACACTTGCATCCAGCTGTAGCTGGATTCAACTTGAGCTGGATCGAACCGCAGTAGGAGTCGATAAGAGCGATCCGTCGCAGAATTTCAGTACAGCTGGTTCGACCCCAGTAGGATGTGATTTAAACTGGGTCGGGCCCGAGCAGTATTCAGTAAGAGTTAGATCGAGCCTCAGTAGAATTCGATAAGAGAGGGATGGAAACCCACTTGGATTTCATGATAGCTGGCTCCAGCCATGGTAGGATTCTTTTAGATCTGGATAGAGCCCCAGTGTGTTTCCCGTAGAGTCGGAGAGAGCCCCCGTAGGATTGGAGCAAAGATGGTTCCAGCCCGAGTACGATATTATCAAAGCTGGGTCGGGCCCGAGCAGGTACCAATAAGAGCTAGATCGAGCTTCAGTAGGATTAGATTAAAGCTGGCTCGAGCCTCACTTGGATTCCATAAGAAGTGGCTCCACTCGTGATAGGTTTCTTTTAGAGCTGGATAGAGCCCTAGTAGGATTCTAGTAGAGTTGGATCGAGCCCTCGCAGGGATTCATTAGAGCTGCTTCCAGCCCGAGTAGGATGTGATTAAAACAGGGTCGAGCCCGAGTTAGATTCTATTAGGATTAATTCGAACCCTAGTAGGATCCGATTAAAGCTGGACCGACCCCTGGAAGAATGTTCCTCAAGCTGGATGGAGCCCGCATAGGATTCTCTTGGACTCGGGCCAGCCATCGTAGGATCCTGTTCGACTTGGATATACCCTTCGTGAAATGCTGTAAAGTTGGATCGAAACCTCGTAGGATTCTATTCGAGTTGTATGGAGCCTCAGTTGGATACTAACACAGTTGGGTCTACCCCTGGAGACGTCGATCAGACCTGGGTCGAGCCATCGCGGGACTTAGCAAGAGCTGGATCCACCCCTAGTGAGATTCTGTTAGAGCTGGATCCAGCCCCAGCTGGATTTCATCACAGCTGGACCGAGCCCTCACAGGGTTCTATTCGAGCCGGATCGAACCTTAGCAGTATTGCGGTAGAGTTGGACTGAGCCCTCGTAGTGTTCCATCAGAGCTGGAGCGAGCCCCAGTAAGATCCTAGTGGAGATGGATCGATCCTTTGTCGGATGCCATTACAGCTGGTTCGAGCCCTAGTAGGATCCGAATAGAGCAGGACCCAGGCCTTGTAGGATTATATTAGACAAGAATCGATCTGTAGTAGGGTTCAGTGAAAGCTGGATCGAGCCCGTTCTAGGATTCTACTAGAATTGGATCGCCCTCTCGTAGGAGGCAATTCGGGCTGGATCCAACCCTGATACGATTCCACCAGAGTTGGATCGAGCCGTCGTCGTTGTCGTTGTCGATGTCGTCGCCGCCGCCGCTGACGTTGTCGCCGTCGTCGAAGTCTTCGTCGTCGTCGCTGTTGCCAGCGGCGCGTAAGGAAAAAAGGGGGGGATTGGGGGGGAGTTCGAACTCCCCCTTTCCTTTAGGACAAAGGAAGGAAGGAAAGGGGGGAGACCAGGCCCGGTTCCACCCCACCCTTTCCCCTCTCCTTGGAGGGGGAAAGGGAGGCGGTTAGAGAGGCAGGTGTCCAGTGGGGGGGGGGGGGCGGTTTTCTGGGCACGCCGGGTGAGTTCCGACGTGTCGCGGGATGTTTCCTCAGCAAGCGTCCCCGAAACACGTTCTCTCGTATATAAGAGAAGATTTGAGGAGATTGGGGTAGGGCACGGTGTCCATTACAGTCAAGTCGAGTCTACCAGGCCTGTCCAGTCGACGCCACTCCGGCCCAGTCTAATCCAGTCCAGCCAGGCAACGCTAGTCCAGTCTAGTCCAGTACATCCCAACCCAAGTCCACTCCAGACCAGTCTAGTACAGTCTATCCAGTCCATGCCATTTCAGCCCACCCTAGTCCAGTCCAATCTACTCCAGTCCAGTCTTCTACTTCAGTCCACTCCAGGCCACTTCGTTTCAGTGTTATGATATATTTGGAGCCTGCGCTGGCTGATATGTTTGTTGCTTGCCGATGGCAGATATGCAGCGCTGACCCGCCACGATAGCATCGCGGATATGGTTCCGGCTACGTTCATCACAGCTTGCCTTCTAAAACACGGCAGACACGACTCGTGCCACTTTCGTGGGCTCCTAGAAGGCCCAGCGCAGTGGTGTCATGCGCTCACCCAGACCAGACCTCGAGGCTTCCTTCAGGTGATACCCACTGCATCGCAGGCGCAATTTTCGCAGGCTCTTAGGAGTCACGGCGCAGTGGTGCCACACGCACTTCCAGACTAGTTAGACCTCGCGGCTCCCTGGAGTTGCTGCGTGGGCTCCTTGGGTGCTCAGCGCAGACCTCGCGGCTTCCTGGAGGTGCTATCACCTGCTCAACTGGCGCCACGCTCGTGGGCTTCTAGGAGGCCCAATACAATGGTGTCATACGCATGACACCACTGCGCTGACATAGTCTAGGGTAGCACCTCATTGAAATATTTCCGTGAGTTGTGGATATCGTAAGCCCCCCAACGTTGTGGTCATAACCAAGTGCGTTCCTTGTCACGTTGCCACCCGCATGAAGGGGGCCCACACGGCCACTTGTTGCAGCTGGGTTGGGTACGTCACAGGGTGTATTGATTTTCGTGTGCTGTTCTAGCGTTCACACTGTCGGCGCGGCGCTGGGCTGCTATGCTGATCTGCCGCTCTTATCGAAGACGACGCAGGGTCATTGAACCCCCATGCTATATGTGAGTATATGTCACACCAGTCGAACTAACGCCTGTGTCATGTAATGTCGAGCGAAACTGCGGCCACGCTTGTGAAATGTGTGTTCCCCCAGCTGTCGGGGAAATCGCTGAGGGATCACTGGGGAAGGGACTTCTTGGACCGTCTTGGGACTGTCTTGGGGCTCTTTTCTTGCCTTCTGGACCCTCTTGAAGGACTGCTGCATCGCGGCACCCGTGGACGACCGTCGCTGCACTGCCGCATCCGGCAGTGTGTCCTCCTCGGATGCCTATCGACAGGTATCCGTTTGCGTGTCATCCACTGCCATGCGGGCCCGAGCGCTCGCGGGACAGCCTGGGGCCGCCCCAGGAGGGCGCACATGTCGGGTGCTGCTAGGATGCCCCTGGCCCAAGATGCCCCCCAGGATTCTCGGGGTGGCCCAGACGGCCTCCAGAGCGCCCCTAAGGAGGCCTCCGCCTCCTCCTCCTCCTCCTCCTCCTCCTCCTCCTCCTCCTCCTCCTCCTCCGCCTCCGCCTCCTCCTCCTCCGCCTCCTCCTCCTCCTCCTCCTCCTCCTCCGCCTCCTCCAAAGCTGGGGGTGCCTTGGGCCCGGGGCACTTCCAGCAACCACCGAACATGGCGCAGCCGCAGCCAGCAGGGCTGCCGCACCGCGCGCCGGGGGGGCGCCGCGGCTCCGCGCGCGCGGCGGGGCCGCCGGCGGAGCCGCCTAGTGCGGCGCCCGCGCCTAGCGTGAGGTGGAAGGAGCGCGAGGAGGAGGGAGGAGGAGGAGGAGGAGGAGGAGGAGGAGGAGGAGGAGGAGGTGGAAGGAGCGCGAGGAGGAGGAGGAGGAGGAGGAGGAGGAGGAGGAGGAGGTGGAAGGAGGAGGAGGAGGAGGAGGAGGAGGAGGAGGAGGAGGAGGAGGAGGAGGAGTGCGAGGATCCAGGCCTCGCAAACAGGGGGTCCGAGTCTAGAAGGCAAAGTCTGCCTGCCTCTAGGAAGCCACATTTCGGGCACGCGCCAGACACCTCTCTCGTTTTTTCTGTAGCCACAGGTCGGGTATCACCAGGACCCCAGGCAAAGGGACCCGGTTAGTAGTAGGGCCCCGGAGCCCATAGGTTGGCCAGAATCACTAAACCAGGTCTGCGGTAGCTGGTGTTTTTTCGGGTGACGGCAGTTCCGGTTAGTGGAACGAGGCGGGGGGGGGGGGCGTCCCCCAGTGCATATCACTAAACCAGGTCCCGCTAAACCCAGTTTTGCCAACGCCCGAACAAGCGTCTATAGTCACATTGGGTGCTGTTACGTGTATAGACATCTTCGGGGTGGACACGCCTCTAAACAACGCGGCCGTTGCGTCCGGCGCAGCAGAAGGTCGGAGAAAGGGTAGATCCGTCCACGGCACGTTCCTGTTCTAGCGAAGGTCTCACATGGTACTCCAAGTCGGAGTTGGCGGGTCTCGGAGGGGCCCGATATGTATACACCATGATCGTTTGGTCGGCCAGCGAGCCAGGGGGGGTCGGCGACGGAATGCGGCGTGTCGACTTCCCAGCGTCCCACATGTTGGGCAGCTGGGGCTTCTACACACCGAGCTCCTTGGCCGACCAAACGTGACGTGGCGTATACATCGAGCCCCTCCCAGGGTAGGAGGGTTGTGCCTCGTCGCCAGGTGCATCGGCGGTGCAACTCGATGTGGAGCCCAATCTTCTCCACGCTGGCAGCGCCGATGCATCGGCGATGCGTCGCGGTCCTCCGACCCTGTCGCCGAGGTGAGGAGTTATTCTGTGATTCTGGAGGATCGATCTTCGGGGACCTCGGCAGGCGGTGGATAGGGATGTACTCGGGTCCAGGGGGGAAATCTTGTATCATGTCCACGTACACCGCCGGCCGAGGTCCCCGAAGGTCGATCCCCCAGGCGGTGGTCATGGGTCCCAGCCTCGCGAACAGGACTTGTCAGCGTCTCTTGTAACATCCTTCTGTGGGCGGCCTCGGTCGAGGCTGTGGCCACGCCTTCCTTCGGTCGCAGGCTCGGCGCGGAGCCTTGCCTGCGCTGCCGGAGGCAGCGCTCTGTGCTTCCCACAGGTGCAGACAGTTGCCTTGGACTCTCGCGTGGTGAGGCCATGGAGGTTTTTTAATAAACAACAACAACAACAACAACAACAACAACAACAATCATTTTACCCGAACGCGTGGTGTTCTCCCCAGTGCCAGGGTTTTCATACGACACCAGGCAATACCCCCACTTCGTGGGGGGCATTACAAGCTCTACCAAATATCCAAACGACTCTTCGCGACCACCCAAACCCAGCTTCCCGCCCTATGACGTTGGGACACTTCACTTCGTGGCGTGCGGACGACCGTGGCTACTACACTGGCGTGGGGTACACACCCACAGAACTTGGTCACTTATTCGGGGCGCGCATGTGCCCAGCATGGTGCAATTGTGCCATACAGCAGCATTCGCAGGCGCGCGAACCCCGTTGCAAGAGCGTGCGAAAGTAGCTCGCGCGAGCTCATGTAACATAAATGTTGGAAAACCATTGGTTGTTTTAGGATTCGGACAGCGCGCGCGGGTGGAAATTTTGAAAAGTCGTGCAGGTGTTTTTCGAGGACCTACGGTGCGATTCGTGTGATTTTATGATGCGCGGTGCTAAAATTCTTAAGAACCCAATGGTTTTTGGAGATTTCGGCGTGCGCGCGCGAAAAAAAACGAATGTGTCCAGCATGGTATTATTTGACAGGGATGATGGCCCTGGCAGGTGCGCAACCGTTGTCGCAGAAGTTCGAAAATGTTGCTCGCAAAAGCCCGTTTGACAGAAATGTTTAAAAAGTGTTGGGTTTCCTACGAATCCGCAAGAGCGCGCGGGATGAGATTTTGACATTTTTTTGTTGAAAAACCATTGGTTTTTTGATGTTTTTATGTTAAAATCGCTCCGAACACTAAGCTTTTGGAAGGATTTCGTCTTGCGCGCGCGAATGTCCACTTTACCTTATTTTTTGCAAGGGATTCTTGAAATTTGATTATATTAGAACAAGAAATGTCATTTTATAGTGTTTTTTGCAAGGGAAAACGGATTACAACAAAACAACCGGATCTTGATCACCTCGAATTACCTGAGGCTTCCTCACGAAAATGATGAAAACGTGGCTGCGGCCTAGGCGCGGCGGGGGGGGCGCGCACCAGGGGGCCCAACAATAATTATTCTTTAGAATTAATAATGTTCAACAACAACAACAACAACAACAACAACAACAACAACAACAACAACAACAACAACAACAACAACAACAACAACAACAATCATTTTACCCGAACGCGTGGTGTTCTCCCCAGTGCCAGGGTTTTCATACGACACCAGGCAATACCCCCACTTCGTGGGGGGGCCGGTTCAAGCTCTACCAAATTTCCAAACGACTCTTCGCCACCACCCACACCCAGCTTCCCGCCCTATGACGTTCGGACACTTCACTTCGTGGCATGCGGACGACCGTGGCTACTATTCAGGGCCCCGCGGCCGACGACGACGGCGTGCGCGCGCGAAGAAAAAACGAATGTGTCCCGCATGGTATTATTTGACAGGGATGATGGCCCTGGCAGGTGCGCAACCGTTGTCGCAGAAGTTCGAAAAAGTTGCTCGCAAAAGCCCGTTTGACAGAAATGTTTAAAAAGTGTTGGGTTTCCTACGAATCCGCAAGAGCGCGCGGGATGAGATTTTGACATTTTTTTGTTGAAAAACCATTAGTTTTTTGATGTTTTTATGTTGAAATCGCTCCGAACACTAAGCTTTTGGAAGGATTTCGTCTTGCGCGCGCGAATGTCCACTTTACCTTATTTTTTGCAAGGGATTCTTGAAATTTGATTATATTAGAACAAGAAATGTCATTTTATAGTGTTTTTTGCAAGGGAAAGCGGGGGGGAACAAAACAACCGGATCTTGATCACATCGAATTACCTGAGGCTTCCTCACGAAAATGATGAAAATGTAGCTGCGGCCTAGGCGGCGCAGGGGGGCCGTGCACCAGGGGCCCCAACAATAATTATTCTTTAGAATTAATAATGTTCAACAACAACAAAACAAAACAAAAAACAAAAAGAGCCTCGCACTCCCTTGCTCGGGCACCACCCGAGGGGCCTCCGGAGGACGAGCTGCCGCGGGCGGGACGCCGCGAGGCGAGGGCCCGCGCCCAGTCCGCGTGGGCGGGCCCCGCCGGCAGGCCGCTGGAGGACGGCCGGGGCCCCCCAGACGGGGTCGAAGGGCAAAAGCGGTCGGAGGATGGCGCCGCAGCGCCGATGCCTCGGCGGTGCGGCTCGGCGTGGGGCCCCGAACTTGACCGCGCCGTCGCCGATGGACCGCCGACGGCGCCGGCGCACATCACCGATGCATCGGCGATGCCTCGGCGAAGCGGCGCGATCCTCCGACCCCATCTGCTCGGGCCCCATCTGGGAGGCCTTGCAAGGACGAGGGAGGGGAGGGGGAGGCCGTCGAGCCCTGGGGCAAGCGAGAGCGCAGGGCTACGTTCAGCGAGATAGAGACCGCGCCGGGCGTCGACAGGACGCCCGTGAGGCTGTTCGTGAACCGCAAGGACCCGTGCGAGCGGCGGCTTCACGTTAGGGTGCGGGACCAGGTCGGTTTCTTGTTCGCGCTCTCGGAGTTCCTGCTGGACGGCAGGATAGTTCGGTAGCAAGTCATGGGAGCTTTGCCCTCGCAACTCCGTTTGTAGAGTGCGTTAGCGTCGACTAGCGCCTGGCAATCGATGAGATAGTGCCGAGCTAGCGTCGATCGGCGTAGATTGCCGTCGATTTAGCGCAGACTAGCTTCGACTAGCGTCGATCAGCGTCGACGCGCAAGAGCCAACGAGATGGTGGGGGAGGCTCCCGTGAGCTGCCGCAGAAGGATCGACGTGGACGTCGCGGACATCGCGAGCGTGGGAGACGACGTGGACAACCGCATGAGGCTGCGGGCTCCGAGACCCTCAGACTGGAAAGATGCCGCCGTGTGGTGCGCGGAGCTGGAGGCCCACCTCAAGGCGTCCGACTACTCCGTCTACGTTGCCGCGGCACAGGCTGCACCTCAGGCGTCCCGGCTCGCCGTGAACCCCCACCTGTTGTGCGTGGTGTCCTTCGCGGAGATGAGCTGCGTCGCCGGGCGCCACGCAGGTTCCCAGCAGCACCGCGTCCGCAGGTACAGGCTGGAGCTGAGGGGCATCAACCAGGCCGGCCTGCTCCTGTGGATCTCCCTGGTCCTGGCCCAGGCGGGGTTCAACATAGTGCGCGCCCAGGTCACCACCAAGGACGGCGACGTCCACGACACGTTCGAGCTGACAACCTCATCGGAAGAGGCCGAGGGGAAGTTGCGGTCGCACCTCCACATACCAGTGGGCGCCGAGGTGCACTCGAACTTGCCGCTGCTGCACAGGCAGTGGGCGACGGAGGCGGAGGGCGCGCCGCCGGGCGCGGAACGGAGCAGCGTGGCGGCTTCCGCGGCTCTCCAGTCGGTAGAGCAGCATGCCCACGACGGGGCCTCGGACTTAAGCGGAGCGTCCGATCAGGACAGCGTCGCGAGTCCGGCAGGCGACGGGGCCAGCGGGAGCCAGCGGCTGAGCCGGCGGTTGCTCAGGAGCCCGTTCTCCCCCGACAGCCTCAGCACGCTCAGGCCCGAGGACAGGTGCAGAGTGGAGCTGAGCAACGGCGACGTGTACGAGGGCGCAGTGTCGCCCAGCAAGGACGGCGGCGGCGTGGTGAAGCACGGCCATCGGCTACACGTAAGGGTGAGGAGAACAACTCTCGTGTTGGGAGGAGGGGGGCGGGAGGATGAAGGGCATGAGCAATGGCATCCGGATGCAGTGAACGATGCCTTCGGCCGCCTACGGGTAATGAGATCCTCATTTCTCTCAGCCCCATCCTCCCAGCCCGATGACTGTCTTCCTGCAGGGGTGGCCCGTCGCCGAAGTGGCCGTCGGTGCGCGGCTTCTCTCGGAGCGGCGCGGGGCGGGGGCCGGGCCCCGAGCGCGCGGGCCGCCGCTGCCGTGCCGCGCGATCGGCAGAAACCGCGCACCAGAGGTCACCCCTGCCCAGGGCCCGGCTGGTGGACAAAATCCTGCACCTTTCTATGCTGACTTCTGTGAGCATCCCCCGCGCCTCCAGTTCAAGATTCGCGGGCTGCGCCGCGCCGCCTCGCTCTGTCGACTGGCCGAGATCCTGCGGTCCGCTAGCGACGCCAGCAGACATCGGAGCGGGGACAGGGGAGCGCGTTGCAGTCCGTGCAGGCGCCCTGGTCGCGCGGGCTGTTCAGGGTTTTGTCAATCAACCGTCACTCTTTGCTCAGAGCCCCGAATCATCAGGGCTGAGGATGGTCAGGGGTTATTTCTGGTTCGTGAGTCGAGGGCCTAAGCTGGAGTTGCCCAGGACCAGGGGTATCCCCGATAGTTCGGGCCTCCAACCATTCCCGAATCATCGGGGCTGGGAGCGGTCAGAGGGATTTCCTGGTTGGCACGTCGGGGCCCTGTCCCAAACTGGAGTTACCCCAGACCAGAGTTATCCCAGACAACTCGGGCGTTCATGTCTTTGCGTGTGGCTGAGGCCACGGCACCTACACCTACGCGTCACCGCACCCCAACACGGAGTATTCTGGCCAGTGGAGGACCAATAGTAAGCACGGCTTCGGCTTCCTGCTCTTGAGGAATGGCGGAGCTTACGCAGGCCAGTGGTTGGCCAATTTGCGGCACGGCGTCGGGGTGGCTCTCGATTACGGCCAGCGTGGCGCCTCGGGCCCGGGCGACATGCCAACCCACCGCTACGAGGGCGAGTGGGAGTCGGACTCGCAGCACGGCATCGGCGTGGAAGAGACGGAGGATCGGGTCGAGAGGAAGGGGGGGGCGCAGAAAAAACACCCTCATGATGAGCACCCTGACAAGCGAAGCCTTTCAGTAAACGCGCCTACGGAAAGGATCGAACAGGGCGGGATTGTTGAGTAAACGCCCAGGGCCGTTTAGCAAACGCCGGTTGTGGGGGTCGGGGTGTTTTTTTCTCCCTCGAGGAAGGGGCAGGGACCGGGATAGGGGGTGGGGTACGACATCTGCCGCGCGCAGGGGCGCTCTCCTCGATGCACTGATGCCTCCAGCGTTGGGAGGCGCTGGACGAGCCAGCAACGTGAGCTGATTCGCGACTTCCCCCTTTGCTGTCCACCGCCGCTCTCGCCCGCCCTGGGAGGAGTTCCTCTACTGCGGGAGGTTCGCCAACGGCCAGCCCTCGGAGCGGGGCATCCGGATGCCGCACCGGGATCCGGGCGTCAAGGGCTGCCGCGTCTTGAGCGAGGGATCGTGGCGGCCACTCATTCCGAAGAACGAAAAATCGCATGCACAGAAACTTTCGGGGGTCCGCGCGGATTTCTGGGATCGGCGCTGGACCTCCCTCCCCAGCGCGCCAGGGGCGGCGCCGGAGGCGCCGCCACGGGGGCCAGCGACGATGCCTGAAGTCCGCGCGAGCCTCCGAGAGATGCGTGTTCCTGCCGATGTTTCTTCCTCTGCCGTGGACCACCTGCAGGAGAAGGGCGGCGCGCCCCGGGCGCCAGGGGGGGGGGGGGGCGGGGCAGAGGGCAGAGGGCGCGGGCCCGCTCGGGAAGCTCCCCCCCCCGAGCCCTCGTCCAGGGCCGCCCGAGGGCGGGAGAGCCTCTGAGAGGCCCCGCCGCCAGCCCGAGGAGGCCCGCGGGGTCTCGGGCGCGCTCTCTGGCTGGCTGCGGCCCGCACGCAGCGGCCGCCTCCCCAGCAGGCGGGGCTGCGCGGCGACGGGGGGGGGAGAGGGGACGAGCCGCAAGCAGGCGACGGCGAGCGCGCATGCGGGGGGGGGCAGTGTCCGCGGGACGACGCAGTCGGGCGGTCCAGCGGGAAGGGGCAGAAAGGAGGCAGCAAGCAGGGAGCAGGGGAGGAGGAGGCGAGGGAGAGGGGGATGGGGATGGGGGACGGGAGACGAGGAGGAGGGAGGGGAGGAGCCACCGCAGGCAGGCTTTCCGGAACACGGGCCGGGAGAGAAGGGTCACCCGCGACGAAGCTACGGACACTGCGGCGGCGACACGACACCGGCAAGGCGGCGGAAGCGGAGGGAATGGTGGAGACGGTGGCTGTTGTCGGGTTCGTGGTGGGGGGTCGTCGCGGGGGGTCGTCGTCAGAGGGTTGTCGTCGAGGGGTCGGACGCCTACCCCGGACGCCTCTCGAATGCCTGGTGGCTTCGGGGTCACAGCTCGGCTCTCCGGCGGCCGTTCGCGCCGCCTTGGTGCACCCCAGGACGCGCCCCGGCGAGGCGCAGCTGCTGGCTGGGACACACCCCGAGGCAGGCAAACGTTCGGGAACCGACGGAGACGCCCCAAAACTTCTCCCTCGGCGCGCCGCCGAGGAGACGGAGGAGCGCTACCGGGTCCCCGCCGCCAGTTCCGGCTCCACCCCTCGCGGCGAGGGCGGCGCGCCTCGCGCGCCCGAGGCCTCTGGACCAGCGGCGCCGGGCTCGCGCAAGGCTGCGGGTGTCTCTTCGCCGTCGCTCTGGGACGAGGCTCGGGGCTTGCTGAGAGGAAAGCAAGGGGCGAGGTTCGGGGGTTCGCCGTCGGCTGGCTCGGGGGAAGGAACAAGATGATCATGACCAAGGTGTCACTGAATGTTGGCGACGCCGATACTAATCATGGTCCATGCCGGCCGTCGCCGATCCGCGAGAATGATACTCAAGTTAGCGGTGACCACGGTGGACGATGGTCAAGGTCGACACCGACGTTTCCGCGTTTCGTCTGATCCTGATCATCGTATTCCTTTCATCTCTGGCCGAAGGTAGCCCCATATTTCCGTTTCGTTTCGAAGGACTGGGGTCTGTGGTTTTCGCCAGCGGCCGTGGATGCTTGTTTGGACATCCTGGGCGAACATTGGACCAATAACATGTTTGACCATACCCGAAAGGTCGAGCTGGCTGCTGTCGTCTACTGCCTGGGTTCGACGCGCAAAAGACGACATGGACATCAGATTTCGGAGGTCCGTGCGAGTTTATTTCATCGACGTTGGGCCCCTCTCCCTGGCGGCGCCTACAGCGCCGGCGCTGGCGCGTTGCGCGCGCCCCTGCCCAGCGCCGATGAAAGGAATCCGCTCGGACCTCCGAAAGTTCATGTTTACCGTTCTTTTTGTTCCTCCATGTAGGCGTCAACCCCGAGGCCGCCAGGATGGTGCGCGGGCGGCGGTTGCACGGCGCCAAGGGGCTGCTGGAGCTTTCAAATTCTGGGATGGCCAGGAAGATGGGGCTGGCCTCGCCCCTGGAGCGGCTCGTTGTGCGGCGCACGCTGCAGCGCCTGCTTTGGGCGGAGATCCAGGAGAACGGCGAGAGGGGCCGCAGCTGCTGTGACGGCGACGTGATGGCCGCTCCCGCGCTTAGCGCGCACGCCATACCGATGGAGAGACTCACCATCGTATCGCGTATCGCACAGGGCGGCTTCGGCGCCGTCCACAGGGGCGCCCTCTTGCCGCAGGGCGGTTCGGACGGATCGGGGCACGGCGGGGAGGAGAAGGCGCAGGCGGTCGCCGTTAAGGAGATGATGGGCGACAGTCGTTTCAAGCTGAACGAGCTGTTGAAAGAGGCGCAAGTCATGGCCTCCCTCAGGCACCCGAACATCTGCCGCTTCATCGGAGTGTGCGCGGACGGCAGGCAGCGCGGCAAGCGGTACATTGTCTCAGAGCTACTGGACTGCTCCCTGTTTGACCTGGTGCACCGGCCAGGCACGACCGACTGGAACGGCGTCCTGGACCCGCTCCTCGCGATGAGACTGGCGGAGGGCATTTGCGCAGGCCTGGCGTACATCCACGACGTGAAGCACCTCGTCCATGCGGACCTAAAGTCTTCCAACATCCTCATAGACCTCTCCCTGGCGCGCACGCGCAGAGGCAGACCAGTGCCCCGCATCTGTGACTTCGGGCACGCGGCCGTCCGCACGGCGGCCTCCCCGCACGACCGGCTGTGCACCCCGCACTGGGCCGCGCCGGAGGTGCTGCGCGGGGAGGGCCTGGGCCCCGCGGCCGACGTGTACTCCATGGGCGTGCTGCTCTGGGAGATGCTCGCAAAGACGATACCGCACGCCAACCTCTGCTTCGGGCAGGTGGGCGGCGGAAGACAGGGGCTTCTTCACCCGCACTGGCGCGCCAGCTGCGCCTGCGCAAGGTCGCGCGTGAGCGCCCTCGTTTCCCTCGCAGCGTGCCGCGCCGGCGGCCCGCATGAGCAGCGGCGTGAGGTCGCCCTGCCATCTCGCGCGAGACCCGTTTCTTTTCGTCGCTCAGGTGATCGCCGTCGTGGGCTGGGCCGGCGTCGCGCCAGACAACGGGTTGCTGCCGCACGTGCCCGACGGCCTGCGGTCCTTGATGAAGGACTGCTTGAGCTTCTTGCCGGACGAGCGCCCCAGCGCGTCGCAGGCCAGAGGGCGGTTGCAGAAGATCCCGCGCAGGCTCCGCCTGCAGGTGCTGCAGATGCTCGCTGGCTTCCTCGCCTGCGGCAACGCCTGAGGCTCTAGGCTGCGCTGCTGAGGTCCGAGTAGATGGGGTCGGAGGACAGCGCCGCATGGCCGATGCATCGGCGATGCGGCTCGATGTGGCGCCCGATTTTACACACGCCGACGGCGCCGATGCATCGCAGACGTCGCCGATGCATCGCCGAAGCATCAGCGATGCGCCGGCGATACGGCGCGAGCCTTCGACACCATCTACTCGGACCCCATTTGGGAGGCCTCTACGCGCAGCCGCACCCTCGCGGCAGCGCTGCGCTGTAGGATGCAGACTAATCGTGCACTGCTCGCAGGTAGGCCTCTCGAGCCACCCCAGGCCGCGCCAGTCGCTGTGCGATAGGCGCCGCAGCCGTTCCAGCAGGTGCGCGCTGGCCGAAACAGCAGTCTGCGTCCACCACATTGGCGTGCTCCGCGGGCATGGGGGATCGCGCTGGTCTCGGCCAGATTTGGGGCCCCGAGCCCTAGTGTTCCCCGCCCTCGCCCTCCGAGCGCCGCCGACGTCGATCTCGCCTCTCGCCCTCTCTTCTCCCCCAAAGATCCACTTCGGTCCGATTGATCCAGTTCGATCTCGACTCCGGCCTTCAGCGCGGCATGGCAGAGTGGTCCCAGGGGGGGCTTGAGAGGCCGCTGGACGGAGACGCCAGGACTGCGACAGACCACTCTGCAGGTGGCCAGTCTCCCGGGCCGTACCCAGGTGTGGCGGCGGGAGTCCTTCCTCCTCCTCCTCCTCCTCCTCCTCCTCCTCCTCCTCCCCTCCTCCTCCCCCCCTCCTCCACCCCTCCTCCTCCTCCTCCCTCCCTCCTCCCGTCCTCCCATCCTCCTCCTCCTACCTCCTCCTCCATCCTACTCTTTTTCCTCACTCCTCCACCCCTCCTCCTCCTCCTCCATCATCATCATCATCCAATCACCATCATCCTCCTCCTCCTCCTCTCTCCTCCCCCTCCTCCCTCCTCCCATCATCATCATCATCATCATCATCATCATCATCATCATCATCATCGTCATCATCATCATCATCATCATCTCCTCCCCCTCATCCTCCTCCTCCTCCTCCTCCACCTCCTCCTCCTCCTCCTCCTCCTCCTCCCCTCTTCCTCCTCCTCCTCGTCCTCCTCCATTTTCTCCTCCTCCTC